GTCCTCCATACCCCAGAGGCTTGAACCACTTGGCTTGCTCAAGTGCAGCACATGTTTGGCATTCGTGGATAACCTGTGCCGTAGTGTCCATGCTCAAGTCCACCCCTCGGTGCCAAGCCCATCTATATGTTGCATTCCTTCATTGATGGCCCGAGGTGTCATGGGCCCACCAAGATATAAATAATTCACCCTTATGTTGCCAGTCCACTTCAGTCTCAGCCGCCTGATCCACCTGATGATTGTTCTGATGTTCTTCAGTGGCCGGAGCCTTAGGTACGTGGGCATCTAGGTGACGTACTGTTACAAGCAGCTTCTCTAACTGGGCAGGAATACCTTGCCACAATGCGGCAGCCCAGATCGGTTTGCCTCTGCACTGACAGTGGCTCTGCTTCCATTGCTACAGCCACCTGCACAGTTGCATTTGCCACCATCCATGAATCAGCACAGAGGTGGCCGTTTTTCTCACTCCGCAATATCTAAAGCCAGCTGGATGGCTTTCACTTCAGCAGGCTGGCTCCATTCCCCTTCTCCTTCAGCAGAGGCAGGGCCCCTCTTCTCCTGGTCACGGTATTCGCTACTCACTTTCTGTAAACAAGAATCTGAAAGTCCCTCCAAGGGGATCAGAAGTGAGATCAGCCCTTCTGCTCTGCTTGGAGATCTGCCTGCGGGAAACCGCAGGGAGCGTCATCTTTCCAGGAACAATCTCTTTTTGTGATGTTTTTTTTCCCTCAACTCACACACCCGGGTATAGAGGGTTGGAGTAGGTTTTCCATCCCGCTTGCTTGTGGTCTGTCCACGGTCATGCAGGTAAAACCCCAGGGCACCCTGTGCTTCTCTCTCCGGAGCACAGAAATGTCTACTAAGAGCTGAGATACAGGCCCGTACAGGTGGGCAGTAGGACATAGCCCCTTGGAATTGTTGGAGCTCCCGGGACAGTTTCTCCACAGCCCAGACACGGGCCCATAGGGAGGGAGAGAGACTTCCTTCGTATTGCCTGAGGTGGCCAGCCAATTCATCCACCGTTTGCCCCTTGCCTTCTTTCCAGGACTCTGCTGCCAACGCGATGGCATATGATAGTGGAGTACTTGGAGGAAACTTCCACCCCATGGCTCACGTGCATTGGACTTCACCCGCATCTGTGGGTAAGTGCTGGTTATCTGGACCATTGTAGATCCCTTCCAGCGTGTCTAAATCCCTCAGGTACTAGATCTCTCTCTCCGTGGTGGTCCACTTGCCTGGCTGACAGCTAGCATCTTCCTTGAAGGGGTACCTTTCCTTCACGCTTGACAGAAGTTGCCTCCAGAGGCTGAGGGTTTGCGTCTCTCTTCCAATCGCCTTGTCGCTGTCCCCTTCCCTAGAGAGGGATCCCAGCTGCCTGGACTCCCCACTCTCTCATGCCACACTACTGGCCCCGCTATCCCAGCATCAGAGCAGGCAGGTAACAATGTGCTCAGCTGAACGGTGGCCAAAATCCGTTCGCGTATCTCTCAGATCACTCAGGGACAGGGTGGTGACCTCTGGTTCTGTCTCTTCCTCCTGCACTCGTGACGACTGTGGTTCACTTTCACGCCGCACTGAGCGCACTGGTGGGTTTTTTGTATCTTCTGTACAGGGGAAACTGCTACTGGCAGAGGTTGGTTCTCTGGTTCAGCTGCTGTGCCCATCACCGGGGTGTGAGTAGCCACAGGGCCTGTTGCTGGGGTTTGAGTAGCCACAGGGCCTATTGCTGGGGTTTGAGTAGCCACAGGGGCTGTTGCTGGGGTTTGAGTAGCCACAGGGCCTGTCAGCAGGGCTGGGGTAGCAGCAGTGGTTCTCAGTCTGTTTCCCCTTCCTTCCCCATGAGGGTGCTGCCTATAATTGAGCCGTTTTCCGTAGATACTGGCCTGGGCCCGGCACAGCACAGTAAGTTCTGCCTCATGGGAATAGCCACAGCATTTTCCTTTCAAATATTCTGTCACTTTTTCAGGGTGCTGTAGTTCTTCGGGAGAGAAATTCCAACCCTCCGGGCGTGAGATGTTATCGAGGTACCTGCCCATATTGTCCCACGTGCCACGCCAGCCATGGCTATCCACCCTAAAGACGTGACACACATCCAGGAGACACAGCTGGCTTGAACACCTCAAGGGTGACTGGGTGGAGTTCTCCTGGAAGGGGATGCGGTGCAAGTACAAGCAGGAGATAGCCAGGGAGAATCCCCAGCAGGTCGGATTTCATCCTCACCACTGTCCGGGAGAGAAAAGGCAAGATCCAATGTTAGTGCTACGGCAGACCTAGCCCACAAAGCCAATGGACAGCTATCAACGGGGACAGAACACTGTAAAGATCTGGAGAGATTTAGGCCCACCAGAGGAATCCGGAAAGGATGAAAGGGACGCACAGAAAGGAAGAAAGAAGATCGTCCATGCTTGACTGTCAGGCTAAAAGCTTTCTAAACCCAATGCAAGAAATTCCATGGGCTGCACGCAACAAATAAACCCTCGCTAAATCCACAAATGGCAATCCCGAGCCCACCTGACCATTCAAGAATCTCATCTGGAGCTGCTTACCTGAGCGCGATGGGCTTCCTCTGTGGCCCCTGGTCTGGCTCAGCTTCTGCCTTGCGACCGGAGAGTCTGTGTGGCTGCTCCCGAGTACTTCTGCTAACGTTAGCCCTGTGAAAAAGGCAGGAGCATGCAGGAACGCCTGTTGCTCGTACTGGCACCCCGTGGTTCCCCGGGTGTGACAGGACACTGCAGGGCATAGGAACAGAGACTGCCGAGCCATCCCGATGTGCTGCTCCTCAGGCTGCCATGCAACTTACTTGTTTAATTACTTTCTGAGGCATCTTTGGGTTTCCTGGTACAGCAGGAAACGTTTATGGGAGCTTTTCAGCTCTGCCTGCGCACATGCCAGTTGCAGCGCGGTGTCCTCCTGCAGGCTTCGTGCTCTCTCCAGTTCTGAGGCCAGAGCTCTAATCGTCTGCTCCAGCTCTTCCCTCCAAGAGGTGACAGTGGCCTTGATCTCGTCTATTCTGGCGTCAGCGGCTGCCTGTGTCTGAAGCAGAAGACGCAGCTCCAAGAAACAGGAAGAAAAAGACAATGTCCCCACTCCCAACAAACCTGCTCTGCCCGCCCTTTTCCTATGAAAGCTGCTATTAAACAGCCCACAACAGTCGACGAACGAGGATGAGGAAAAGACCGCATGTTTTCCCGCACCCGGGTCCCACGGCACACGACACACACACACTTTGACGCAGCCTTTTGCGGCTCCCCGGCTTCCCTGCAGGAAAGCCAAACCCCCAGCACTAGCAAAGAGAGCCGGATGCCCAGGGCAAACCACCTAACAGCCACGACCACAACCCCCAGTGAACCCAACGGCAGCTACAGCTACAAACGGCACCTAAACTGACCTGCCAAAGGAGATTGGGATCTGGCTTCTCTCTCGTCTCTTCCGGCGCTCGCTGCTCTCCCTGTTTTCCAGGAAGCGCCGTCGTGGTACAACCCAGCCCAGAAGCCGCCAAGAGATCTGACAGAACAGCCACTGAGCGTCCCAGCTCCTGATTCAGAGCTTCGAGGTGCAGAGATTTTTGGGACTCCAGCTCCAGCCGCACATCAAGGTCACACCCCTGTATGCGGGGAAAAACAAACCTGCCTTGAGCAGAGGGGGCCCAAATCTCTGCAAAACTCGATCAAACGGATGCCTCCAGGTCATAGTTGTAAATCCAGAGAGTTTAGATTTCCCGCCGGGGAAAAGGCGCTTGGCTTTCTGAAAGTAAGCGTCCGCCTTTCAAGCCCTTGCCGACAAGAGCGCTCCAGCTTCCATCCGCCCCTCCTTTCCAAAAGGGCACCATGGCAAAGGCACTCCACTCCTCCTACAGCACCCCAGCGCGGCCGTGCCTCTGGAGATGCTCTTTGGCATTTCCTCGCAGTCGTGGCCCTTCCTTTTGCTTCCACGGCACTCCTGTTCCGCCCCGTTCCTTCTCCTACGCACACCCTTGTGCTAAGGCCTGGGGCGGGCAGTGCCGGGGAAGAGACAAGAGCTCCAAGGCTTCCCTGAGAGGGAGAGGGAAGCCTGGCTTACGAGACACAGGCAAAGAGAGCGGTCCTTTCCTTCCCTCAAAACACCGCTGCCAGGGAACTCGACACCCTCTTGGTGCAGAGACCGACCAAAGGAAAACCTTGCAGAGAAAGCAACCGAGCCCAAAGACATTTGGGAGAGCGTGGCTTGCGATATCACCTCAGAGCCACAACTTTTGGCTGGTGTCAGAACAGAACTGAGTCTCCAGAGAGCACAGCTGCTTCGTTCTTCCCCGCACAGGTGCTGCCCCCAAGCCACTGCTTTGCCCCTCAGCCTCGAAACGAGCTCCCTGAAGGTCCGGCTGGCTTCTTCAAGGCCAGAGGGGAGGTGGCAGGGAGGAGAAAGGAGCGAAATGCACCTTCTAGTCTGGTGCTCGTAACGTCCTCAGACAAATCTCTCCCGTACTTGTTGCTAGAATATAGTGTTCTCTTGCAGTCACTGAAGGAGAAGAACAGCTTCAAATACGCAAACGTGTTTGTGTACCTTGGCCTTAGCCTTGTCCAAGTCCTCTTGCAGGTGGGAGTTTTCTTCCCTCAGGTGATTGAGCTGGTGCGTAGAAGCTTTCAGTGAGGTTTCTGCTGCCCACTGCTTCCTGAAGGACTCCTCGAGCTCTGCTTGCAGCCGTCTCTCTGTTCTCTAGGGAGACAATGTCACAGAAGTACAAAGAAGAAGGTGGTAAGAAGCCGAAATCTGTATTCCGAGACCAGTTTTCTAAGCACGTCCCAAAGCAAAGAAATCCCATCTACTGGAAGAAGAGGGCATCTGCACAGCTGGTGGTCTCTAGCCAGCCTTGGCGAGTGAACACAGCTCAGGAAATGTCACCTCTCGATCAAGATTTCTGTTTGCCAGCACATTCTTCTCGGAAGATGCCGAGACTGTGCCTCTGTGGGGTTTTGCTTCTTTCTTCAGGTCATGCTAACGTCTCACTGGATGCCAAGGCAAGGGCTGTTGCTGGACCGCGGCCCCTTCTCCGGTGACCAGAGGCAAGGCTTCCTAGAGCAAACCTCCCCATATGCCAGAACCTTCCGCAGTTGCAACCAACGCAGCACAAACCAGCAGCAACGCGAGCGATGGAATACCTCGCAGGTACCTTCTACCTGCTGGCTCTCAGAAGCCCCAGATCGCCGTGGGACCTGCTCTCCCCTAAGTCACTCCTGGCCAGTGCTCACCTCACCTCTGTTCTGACTCTGTCGGCCTCGCATGGAAAGGCACCACTCACCATTCGCTCTTGGGCGGCCTTGATCTGCACCTCTCCCAGCTGCTGATGGAGTGAAAGGTTTTCACTTTGGAGCTGGGCCAGTTGTTGCTGCAGCCCTTCTGCCTTCTGGATGGCATTTTCTCTCGCTGCCTCCTCCTTAAGGTACAGGTCATGCCACTTGCTTGCCTGCCTCTGGGCCTGACGAAATTCTCTTTCTCTCCTCTCTAAAGCCAGCGTCTTCTCCCAGAGCGCTGTTTTCATTTGCTCCAGTTCCTTCTCCAGCCCACCAGCTTTCCCTTCTGCTTCGCTCAGCTGCCGAGACAAGCTCTTGTTGGTCTTCAGCAGCTGAGACACGTCCTTCTGCACAGAACACAAATTGACAGCCCTTAGGAAATCAGCTCAAAACAGGGGGTCTCGGCAGCATTTCCTGCCACCCGAAGAGGACTGTCACCAGCGTGACGTTCAGATTCAAAAAGGTATTTTAACCGCTCTGCGTTAGACATTACTCGTGGAAAAGACTTCTTTTGCATTAGTGTGTCTCATGTAAACCCGAAAGGAGGACTCTAATGGCAAATCTGTGTTTTTACATACATCCCGCCCAAAGCCTTTGCTCTTCCCTTCAGCTTCTTCACCTCCTGGCAGCTGGCAGACAGCAGGCGCCCTGCGTATGGCAGGCTCACCTAGATGAAAACCACATATTGTTGGAAGCAGAGTGAGCTGAGGCAAGTCCTTGATGCCTAGAGTGCTTTCCGACTCATCGTGCTCCCGGAGACAATCTTGGCACAGACACACGCCCCAAACCCAGGAGATGCCAGCGAGGGACCTGTCAAATGGCAGGTTGGAAACGCAGCTCCCTTCCCGCGGGGGAACTCGCTCCCTCGAGCACAGCCGCCTTTTCCGTGTGCCAGGGAGATCGCTCCAAGTGATCAGAAAGGAGCCCAAGAGGAACGAGCGTCTCGAGAACTCTGCTATGCCGGGCCGTTGCCTGGCCGTGCGCTTTTTCACTGGCTGGCTCAGAAGCCACAAGCCCCTCCTGGGCTCCACACAGCCCGTCCCCACGGCAAGCCTGTCACAAAAGGGCGGGCGACAGGCCTTTTCCCCATCGCCTCCTCCACCCCCGAGAGTCCCACCTGCTCTCCGCAGAGCGGGTGCGCGCCGCCTCAGCGCAGCAGCTTGGGCCCCGTGGGGAGCGCTGGGCGCTGACACGCCCTTTGCACGGCCCACGGCAGCTTCTCCCTCGTCCTCCTGCTCCCTGGGCTGCGCAGGCCGTGCACGGGGACTGCGCCTGGAAAGACAAAGAGCGCAGCCAGTTGTAGGCACTGCTCAGCGCAACACCAACGGCCGGGGCTTGTCCGCGCTTCCCAGAGTGACCCCCCCTTGGGAACGAAGAGCCCCAGGCACAAAGCTGAGCCCGAGCGCAGGAAAGCAGCCCCGCAGTTTGCCCGCCAGCAGCCGCCTGCCTGCGCCCCCGTTACCTGTCGGCCTCGTCCCGGCAGTCGGTGCCTTTCACCGGCGCCTTCCCCAGCGGCTGCACTGGGGCCAAGTCGCCCATGGTGGCTGCCTGGGGCAGCTCGTCCCGACCCTCCGGCTGGAGCTCATGGCTGTCGCTGCTCCCGGAGGACAAGGGACCCTCCTGCACCCTCTTGCTCCTGCTCCTGCTCCTCCTCCAGCTCCGCAGGAACCGCCAGATCCTCCCCATGGCCCGGCGGGAATGGGCACTGCACCACCTCTCCTCGCCTCTCCCCGGGGAGCGGTGCCAGGCAGGACTTGGCGGGCGCTGCCGGGTGCCGGCTGCCAACAGAGGAGCCGAGCCCCGAGGAGCGGCAGCTCACGGGCAGCTGCCTCGGGGCTGAGCCAGCGCCCGCAGCACTGGCACCAGCTGTACCACCAGCACCGCTGGCACCAGCTGTACCACCAGCACCAGCGGCACCAGCTGTACCACCAGCACCAGCGGCACCAGCTGTACCACCAGCACCGCTGGCACCAGCTGTACCACCAGCACCGCTGGCACCAGCACCAGTGGCAGCTCCGGCACCAGCGCCACCAGTACCAACAGCACGTCCAGTACCAGCCCGCAGCACAGCACAAGCAGCACAGCACCAGCACAGCACCAGCACACAGCCAGCACCGCCAGGCACTGTGTGGTCAGGTCACCGCCGGTAACCAAGGTCTAGGGAACGAATGTGCTGACGTCATGAAAGGCTCAGTGACATCAGATGGCGCTGGGGGCTGGGCGGGGCCGGGGCAGAGGCTGGCCGGGCAGAGGGGCCTGTGTGCTCAGAACCTCTCTGCACACACACAGGCCCCGTGGCCGAGGGAAACAGCCCCTGGCGCGCTGTGTCCGGGGGCACAGGGTTGCCCAAGGCCACCTCTCCGAGGCTCCCACCTCCCTGCACGCTCTGCGGACCCCCCGGCCTCCTCCCCTCTCCCAGCACCTCCGCAGCGCTCGCCCGCGGGGCAGACGGACGGGCTGGGCAGAGCGGGCTCCCTGGAAGCCAGCAGGGCTCCCTGGAAGCACAAGAGGTGGCGGCTGGACCCCCCAGGTCCCTCTTTGTGCTTCCTGGGCTCTTGGCATGAGTTTGGGGGCACCCTGGACCCCTGGCAGTGCCCTTCTCTGCAGCCCTGGGTGTCAGGGGCCACAGCGTGACTTTTGCACTCACCCTGATGCACGTCAGCACCTTCTCCTCAGCTGCCACTCGCCAGATCCCACGAAAACCTCCAACTGGGCACTGGAGATTTCGCACTCGCCCTCTGCCCTGCAGCATGTCTGCCCAGGGGAAGGAGGAGGCACGCCTGGAAGCCAGGCCCTGAACCCTGCTGAGGCTCAGCCCTGCCGCGCTCCCCGGGAGAGCCCCCACGGCACGGAACCGTCTTGGAGGGAGCAGGCTGGGGTTTCCCCCGGCGGGGCCGGCCCCCGGGGACGGAGGGCAGCAGCCTGGCCCTGAAAATAAAGGCTTTGCTTCTGGGAAGCCGTGGCAGGTGCAGCCGCCCGATGAAAATGTGGCTTCCTGGCTGTGGAACCTTTCCGGCGCCCTTGTTCTCAGGGCTTGAGAGTAATTGGGGTTCTGGGTCAAGAGGGGCTGGGACTGCCCACAGGTCAGATTGGGCTGGGGTGTAAATGGAGTCCCTGGGGGAGCCATTTGGGGCTCGTCCTGCCCGCAGCAGCGTGCTGCAGGGAAGGGCTCTCCCCTTGGGTCGGGACACGGCCCACGGAAACTCCGTGGGGTTCCCGCGGCTTGGGACGCTGCCCGAAGGCGTTCCTCGAGGTTGAGAGCCCTGACCTGTCATTAGGGGAGGGACTGAGCGTTCCGGGTTGTCCTTAAGCCCTGTTTAGGGTCTGGGGCCGTTGTTGAACCCCAGAAGTCCGTGTGGTGATTGTTCTCCTCTCACGGACATTGGAACCCTCTCTCTGCACGCTTGCGGAGTGTCGATTACTTGCGTACAAAACCCAGTGTTGTTTGTATTCGTTATGTGGAAGCTGCCGCAGCAGGAGTTTGGGGCTGTCCATGGGGGGTGCAGGACACCCCCGCACAAGCAGGGTAACGCCGCTCTCGTAAGCCCCTCGGAGGTGTCTCCTGACCCCCCCCGGCGCCACAGGCCGGTGAGGGCCGCAGGGCCGGCTCTGGGCACGGCTGGGCCCGCAGCCAAAGCGCTTCCGGCCCGGGCCCCGCCCCGGGCCCGCCGCCGCTTCCGCTTCCGCTTCCGGGAGAGGCGGCCGCAATGGCGGTGCTCGCGTCCAACCCCAACAATCCCGTGGTCTTTTTCGATGTCGCTGTCGGCGGGCAGGTGGGTGTAGGAGCGCGGGGGGGGGGTGCAGCGGGAGCGGGGCTGAGGGGTTCGCTGCGGGGGTGCAGAGGTGCAGGGTTGTGTGGGGAGGGGGCTCGCAGGGCTTGGGGGGGGCGGCAGGAGGTTGGGGGGGTGGGAGCTCCCCGGGTGGGGAGACGGGTGGGTGGGAGCCATCTTCTGCAGGCCGCCCAAATGTAAATGAATTGTGCCGTACCCCCTTCTCCGGCAACACCAGCCGATCTCGCTGCCTAGAACAGCGTTAGTTCCGTTGCAGTTGAACACCCACGAACCCTTGTGAAAGTTCTTTCTCGAAGCCGATCGCCCTCGTTTTCCCTTGGCCGTCCCTCAGGCAGCCGCAGGGCTGGGGCAGGGCCGTTCCCTTCACCCGCAGCCTGCTGCCGGGCCGGGGGTGTTGGGAGAGGTGCCCGGTGCTGGTCCTGGCATGGGCTGGTGTCTTCAGGCGCTCTCCCTGGGGCTGAGGTTGTTTGGGGAAGCAAGGGCTTGAAAGGCTTGCCTGCTTTCCAAAAACCAGGTGTCTTTTCCCTGGGTTTGGAATCCAAACAGCTGTGATCTCGATCGGTACGTCTGAGATTCACAGAGATCTGGTGATGAAGGAAGGAAAAGCATTTGTCATTGAGCATTTTAATGGGATGCTCAGAAAGGAGATGTGGAGGTATTGTACAGCATACAACACTTTTTACTAGAGTATTTGCTGCCAGAGTTCGTAAAGAGCTACAACCAGAGCTTCCAGAGCACTACCAGAGCCAGGCCTGAAGAGGTGAACACACCAGACTCATCAGGGATTTAGAATACTCTTCATGGTGTTGCTTTGGAAGACTGTTTGAGCCTCTGCTCAAGAAGTGAGAGCGTGTCGGGGTGCCTAGTACGAGAGAGAGATTTGAGAAAGGTTACGAACCTAGGTTCACCATCAAAATGTTTATAGTAGATCAAACTGTGAGGACAGCTACCCGCGTATCACTTCCTGATCATGCGTCCCTTGAGGGGCCGTATTACCCGGCAGAACTTCAGAAAGGGAACCCTGGTGTTCTAGGTAGATTAAGGGAAATCACATCCAAATATGGATTAATGAATCTTTATTAAGGTAAGAGAGCAAATGCAGCGCTGGGGTGGCCCAGGAGTCACAGCTTCATCAAGGCTCACCAAATTGTTTCAGTTTCAAACCCCCTTTTGTCTACACAGCTGCTGGTTTCAACATCTTCGGCACGCCTCCTGGCTTCTTCTGCAATCATATCTTCTTTCTTCTCCTCGCTCCAGCCTCCCGTCGCGCTTGCACAGTGCTCCCTGGTGGTCGTGGGCAGGGGTCTGCAGATGAAGGCTCGTAGTCTTCTTCACCGTGCTCGCTAGCTGACCCTTACTTCTGCGCCAACTCAGTGCTGTGGTCACGTACACCTTGTCCTTCAAGTCTGGGCTAATTTGCAGCTCCTTTGTCTTTCTGGCTCAGTGGTTTCAGTTCCTCTCTTGTCTCAAGGACAAGGGATACCAGGGATGGCCCATTCTGTTCTTTCTCATTCCATTGCAAAGGAGTTACCGCCCTGTGATATGGACCATCTGGTGAGCACCCCAAGAAGGGGGGGACTGTTGGGTTGGTGTTTCCTCAGATCAATTCCCCCCCTTCTCTTTTCCCAGTAGTAAATTATTTTACTTTTCTTAAAATTTGGATCGTTATACTAATCATAGCTTTAGCCTAACTCAGTAAAAGTAATTGTTTAATTACTTTTAGCGGAAGCAAAATTCTTCTAGTATTTATCACAAACCACCCCTTTTCTTTTAAAACCGTATTTTGTTTGAGCCTACTAACACTTAGTCTAATTCTTTTCTGAATATAATAACTTTGTGGGCACCGGCCGATGCAGCCATTTCAGGGTTTACTGGCATAGCTGCTATTTGCATTCCCTCAATAACATGAGACATTAGCCGTATAAAGGAGGGTATTAAACATGGTAAGAACGGTAAGCCTGCCATAGCACAAAGGAAGAAAAATCCAACCTTTTTCCACACTCTGATGTTGGACAGAACGGTAAAGCACTTGTTGCACGGATTTGCTGCTATTAGAGGGAACCCTATCAGGGTGATTAGCAGAGATCCGGTATAACATACACTCCCACCTCTCATGCCTATGGGGTTGCAGCCCACAGCTGAGATAAAGGTCTTCTTGGTGGCGAGCACAGAGGTTAACCCGGTCTTGCCCTCTACTGTTTAACGAATCCGTGTTTTAACAGTTAGTCAATTCAAGTGCAGCTCCTTTGTAGCCACTTCCTTTGTTTCTAAGCAAAGCAAACTTTTTTTGGCACTTTCTGGCAGTGTCCTTCCATCAACTCTCAGGGACATCCAAATTTTGGGGCCTCACCTCTTTTTCCCACAAATCAAGGCTGCAATTCGTGCCCCTTCCCTATACTCACAGTCCCTATTACAGTTATAACACAATTTTATCCGTACACAATACCACCTCCGGTTACACATTTCACTCTCACACAAAACCCACGCTTCATGAAGTCTGTGTATAAACTTGAGATCAGGTATCACCCTGTTAGGTTGATTTTCTAGCAATGCCTGATCAAATCCAAAATGGCCAGGATCCGGGCATGTCTGAGGAGTTACTATTTTTCTGTACATTTGGAATTTATAGTTACTTCCTGTCGTTTACTGATTGTTTCCAGGGCTCGTTCCCAGGGTTGCATTTTCACGCTGATAAGATGCTGGTTGCTTCATGCTGCTGATAAGATGCTGGTTGCTGGTCGGGGGATTCACTCAGAAGTCAACCTTGGTTTGAGGCCGATTGTTTGGCCCTTTTTTGTTTCAATCGGTCCTTTGACTTAGGAGTGAAGATCACGACCCTTTTGGAAGAGCCCAGTATGTTCGCTCTATCCCTTTGATACGATACCATGCGTAACAATTATAAAAAGTAATAATGATAACTAACAATATCACAAGAGGATGTATGAAGAAATTCAACGCTTGGGCTGCAGAGGATGAATACCCAGTAAAGATGTCCCACCAGTGGAGTGCAGTCTCCTTCTCCATCTGGCTAGCCAACGACATTAGTTGATTCTTGGTGATTACAGTCTGTATCAGAGAGTCTGACAGAGTTTTCTTTCATCGTTCCAGGTGTCGTCGCAAATGTTCTGATTGTTCCATGGTGGTTTTCAGTGGAGTCAGGGATAAGCTGATTCCATTAAGTCCTAAGCTTTGGGGGTGGCAGCACATGTTTAGTTGTTCTCCATGCGTTGGATAAAAAGTATACATCTGTCCGTGCCAGATGAGATAGAATCCATTTCTGAGGCATCCCGAAAACGGAGTAGTTAGATTATCCATTTCTAGAATATTTTTATCATTTGTTACTATACAAACATGCTTAGCACTAATTTCTACAAACATAGCAAAGCTTTTGGGTAAGATGGTCCATTTACACAGATTCACTGAATGGTCCAATAAACCGAGTACTGAAAGTAAGATTGGCTATGATACAGGCAGAATTGGCTTTGCATCGGAAATCATCCTGTTGCCTTGCCTTGGTTGCATTTTTCCATTGCCACCTACGCGGTGTCTCTCGTGGACCTTCCAGTGGCCATCCTGGGGTAAAAGCCTTTCCCAAATGGACCGTGACGATACACAGGCAAATCCATCTTAGCAGGATCTAAAAGATAGAACCTTAAGACATCTAGTTATTCTCGCAGATAACATTTAGTTGCAGGAGCATATTCCCATTTTTCCTGTCCAGGTTGCATGATTACAACAGTATTGTCTTTTCCTGTGGCTGTTCCTTCAGCTGGTTCAGGAGGCCCACTTGAACTCTGGGCCCACACTTTGGCTCCGTTATTGAAATGAGTTGATCCAAACCCTTCACCTCCACCAGCAGTGGTGACTTGAGGTGGATCCCCTTTTTTCCCCAATTGCTTTCAAAACTGGCAATATCAATAACTGTGCGAGCTTTGGGTCATATTTCCCGATGCCCACAATGCCATTGAATTCCTAAAAAATGTACAGTTTGGGATAGTTCTTGAATCTTGTTAGGATTATTTTCCCAACCTTCCTGTCTCATAGGATCCCCCCCCACCTATTCAAGTAGTTGTTGCACTTCCTTCTCGTTGTTTCCCTGAATTAGGATATCATCAATATAATGCAGTATATTGCCTTAGGTACGTGGGCATCTAGGTGACGTACTGTTCCAAGCAGCTTCTCTAACTGGGCAGGAATACCTTGCCACAATGCGGCAGCCCAGATCGGTTTGCCTCTGCACTGACAGTGGCTCTGCTTCCATTGCTACAGCCACCCGCACAGAGCATTTGCCACCATCCATGAATCAGCACAGAGGTGGCCGTTTTTCTCACTCTGCAATATCTAAAGCCAGCTGGATGGCTTTCACTTCAGCAGGCTGGCTCCATTCCCCTTCTCCTTCAGCAGAGGCAGGGCCCCTCTTCTCCTGGTCACGGTATTCGCTACTCACTTTCTGTAAACAAGAATCTGAAAGTCCCTCCGAGGGGATCAGAAGTGAGATCAGCCCTTCTGCTCTGCTTGGAGATCTGCCTGCGGGAAACCGCAGGGAGCGTCATCTTTCCAGGAACAATCTCTTTTTGTGATGTTTTTTTTTTCCCTCAACTCACGCACCCGGGTATAGAGGGTTGGAGTAGGTTTTCCATCCCGCTTGCTTGTGGTCTGTCCACAGTCATGCAGGTAAAACCCCAGGGCACCCTGTGCTTCTCTCTCCGGAGCACAGAAATGTCTACTAAGAGCTGAGATACAGGCCCGTACAGGTGGGCAGTAGGACATAGCCCCTTGGAATTGTTGGAGCTCCCGGGACAGTTTCTCCACAGCCCAGACACGGGCCCATAGGGAGGGAGAGAGACTTCCTTCGTATTGCCTGAGGTGGCCAGCCAATTCATCCACCGTTTGCCCCTTGCCTTCTTTCCAGGACTCTGCTGCCAACGCGATGGCATATGATAGTGGAGTACTTGGAGGAAACTTCCACCCCATGGCTCACGTGCATTGGACTTCACCCGCATCTGTGGGTAAGTGCTGGTTATCTGGACCATTGTAGATCCCTTCCAGCGTGTCTAAATCCCTCAGGTACTAGATCTCTCTCTCCGTGGTGGTCCACTTGCCTGGCTGACAGCTAGCATCTTCCTTGAAGGGGTACCTTTCCTTCACGCTTGACAGAAGTTGCCTCCAGAGGCTGAGGGTTTGCGTCTCTCTTCCAATCGCCTTGTCGCTGTCCCCTTCCCTAGAGAGGGATCCCAGCTGCCTGGACTCCCCACTCTCTCATGCCACACTACTGGCCCCGCTATCCCAGCATCAGAGCAGGCAGGTAACAATGTGCTCAGCTGAACGGTGGCCAAAATCCGTTCGCGTATCTCTCAGATCACTCAGGGACAGGGTGGTGACCTCTGGTTCTGTCTCTTCCTCCTGCACTCGTGACGACTGTGGTTCACTTTCACGCCGCACTGAGCGCACTGGTGGGTTTTTTGTATCTTCTGTACAGGGGAAACTGCTACTGGCAGAGGTTGGTTCTCTGGTTCAGCTGCTGTGCCCATCACCGGGGTGTGAGTAGCCACAGGGCCTGTTGCTGGGGTTTGAGTAGCCACAGGGCCTGTTGCTGGGGTTTGAGTAGCCACAGGGCCTGTCAGCAGGGCTGGGGTAGCAGCAGTGGTTCTCAGTCTGTTTCCCCTTCCTTCCCCATGAGGGTGCTGCCTATAATTGAGCCGTTTTCCGTAGATACTGGCCTGGGCCCGGCACAGCACAGTAAGTTCTGCCTCATGGGAATAGCCACAGCATTTTCCTTTCAAATATTCTGTCACTTTTTCAGGGTGCTGTAGTTCTTCGGGAGAGAAATTCCAACCCTCCGGGCGTGAGAAGTTATCGAGGTACCTGCCCATATTGTCCCACGTGCCACGCCAGCCATGGCTATCCACCCTAAAGACGTGACACACATCCAGGAGACACAGCTGGCTTGAACACCTCAAGGGTGACTGGGTGGAGTTCTCCTGGAAGGGGATGCGGTGCAAGTACAAGCAGGAGATAGCCAGGGAGAATCCCCAGCAGGTCGGATTTCATCCTCACCACTGTCCGGGAGAGAAAAGGCAAGATCCAATGTTAGTGCTACGGCAGACCTAGCCCACAAAGCCAATGGACAGCTATCAACGGGGACAGAACACTGTAAAGATCTGGAGAGATTTAGGCCCACCAGAGGAATCCGGAAAGGATGAAAGGGACGCACAGAAAGGAAGAAAGAAGATCGTCCATGCTTGACTGTCAGGCTAAAAGCTTTCTAAACCCAATGCAAGAAATTCCATGGGCTGCACGCAACAAATAAACCCTCGCTAAATCCACAAATGGCAATCCCGAGCCCACCTGACCATTCAAGAATCTCATCTGGAGCTGCTTACCTGAGCGCGATGGGCTTCCTCTGTGGCCCCTGGTCTGGCTCAGCTTCTGCCTTGCGACCGGAGAGTCTGTGTGGCTGCTCCCGAGTACTTCTGCTAACGTTAGCCCTGTGAAAAAGGCAGGAGCATGCAGGAACGCCTGTTGCTCGTACTGGCACCCCGTGGTTCCCCGGGTGTGACAGGACACTGCAGGGCATAGGAACAGAGACTGCCGAGCCATCCCGATGTGCTGCTCCTCAGGCTGCCATGCAACTTACTTGTTTAATTGCTTTCTGAGGCATCTTTGGGTTTCCTGGTACAGCAGGAAACGTTTATGGGAGCTTTTCAGCTCTGCCTGCGCACATGCCAGTTGCAGCGCGGTGTCCTCCTGCAGGCTTCGTGCTCTCTCCAGTTCTGAGGCCAGAGCTCTAATCGTCTGCTCCAGCTCTTCCCTCCAAGAGGTGACAGTGGCCTTGATCTCGTCTATTCTGGCGTCAGCGGCTGCCTGTGTCTGAAGCAGAAGACGCAGCTCCAAGAAACAGGAAGAAAAAGACAATGTCCCCACTCCCAACAAACCTGCTCTGCCCGCCCTTTTCCTATGAAAGCTGCTATTAAACAGCCCACAACAGTCGACGAACGAGGATGAGGAAAAGACCGCATGTTTTCCTGCACCCGGGTCCCACGGCACACGACACACACACACTTTGACGCAGCCTTTTGCGGCTCCCCGGCTTCCCTGCAGGAAAGCCAAACCCCCAGCACTAGCAAAGAGAGCCGGATGCCCAGGGCAAACCACCTAACAGCCACGACCACAACCCCCAGTGAACCCAACGGCAGCTACAGCTACAAACGGCACCTAAACTGACCTGCCAAAGGAGATTGGGATCTGGCTTCTCTCTCGTCTCTTCCGGCGCTCGCTGCTCTCCCTGTTTTCCAGGAAGCGCCGTCGTGGTACAACCCAGCCCAGAAGCCGCCAAGAGATCTGACAGAACAGCCACTGAGCGTCCCAGCTCCTGATTCAGAGCTTCGAGGTGCAGAGATTTTTGGGACTCCAGCTCCAGCCGCACATCAAGGTCACACCCCTGTATGCGGGGAAAAACAAACCTGCCTTGAGCAGAGGGGGCCCAAATCTCTGCAAAACTCGATCAAACGGATGCCTCCAGGTCATAGTTGTAAATCCAGAGAGTTTAGATTTCCCGCCGGGGAAAAGGCGCTTGGCTTTCTGAAAGTAAGCGTCCGCCTTTCAAGCCCTTGCCGACAAGAGCGCTCCAGCTTCCATCCGCCCCTCCTTTCCAAAAGGGCACCATGGCAAAGGCACTCCACTCCTCCTACAGCACCCCAGCGCGGCCGTGCCTCTGGAGATGCTCTTTGGCATTTCCTCGCAGTCGTGGCCCTTCCTTTTGCTTCCATGGCACTCCTGTTCCGCCCCGTTCCTTCTCCTACGCACACCCTTGTGCTAAGGCCTGGGGCGGGCAGTGCCGGGGAAGAGACAAGAGCTCCAAGGCTTCCCTGAGAGGGAGAGGGAAGCCTGGCTTACGAGACACAGGCAAAGAGAGCGGTCCTTTCCTTCCCTCAAAACACCGCTGCCAGGGAACTCGACACCCTCTTGGTGCAGAGACCGACCAAAGGAAAACCTTGCAGAGAAAGCAACCGAGCCCAAAGACATTTGGGAGAGCGTGGCTTGCGATATCACCTCAGAGCCACAACTTTTGGCTGGTGTCAGAACAGAACTGAGTCTCCAGAGAGCACAGCTGCTTCGTTCTTCCCCGCACAGGTGCTGCCCCCAAGCCACTGCTTTGCCCCTCAGCCTCGAAACGAGCTCCCTGAAGGTCCGGCTGGCTTCTTCAAGGCCAGAGGGGAGGTGGCAGGGAGGAGAAAGGAGCGAAATGCACCTTCTAGTCTGGTGCTCGTAACGTCCTCAGACAAATCTCTCCCGTACTTGTTGCTAGAATATAGTGTTCTCTTGCAGTCACTGAAGGAGAAGAACAGCTTCAAATACGCAAACGTGTTTGTGTACCTTGGCCTTAGCCTTGTCCAAGTCCTCTTGCAGGTGGGAGTTTTCTTCCCTCAGGTGATTGAGCTGGTGCGTAGAAGCTTTCAGTGAGGTTTCTGCTGCCCACTGCTTCCTGAAGGACTCCTCGAGCTCTGCTTGCAGCCGTCTCTCTGTTCTCTAGGGAGACAATGTCACAGAAGTACAAAGAAGAAGGTGGTAAGAAGCCGAAATCTGTATTCCGAGACCAGTTTTCTAAGCACGTCCCAAAGCAAAGAAATCCCCTCTACTGGAAGAAGAGGGCATCTGCACAGCTGGTGGTCTCTAGCCAGCCTTGGCGAGTGAACACAGCTCAGGAAATGTCACCTCTCGATCAAGATTTCTGTTTGCCAGCACATTCTTCTCGGAAGATGCCGAGACTGTGCCTCTGTGGGGTTTTGCTTCTTTCTTCAGGTCATGCTAACGTCTCACTGGATGCCAAGGCAAGGGCTGTCGCTGGACCGCGGCCCCTTCTCCGGTGACCAGAGGCAAGGCTTCCTAGAGCAAACCTCCCCATATGCCAGAACCTTCCGCAGTTGCAACCAACGCAGCACAAACCAGCGATGGAATACCTCGCAGGTACCTTCTACCTGCTGGCTCTCAGAAGCCCCAGATCGCCGTGGGACCTGCTCTCCCCTAAGTCACTCCTGGCCAGTGCTCACCTCACCTCTGTTCTGACTCTGTCGGCCTCGCATGGAAAGGCACCACTCACCATTCGCTCTTGGGCGGCCTTGATCTGCACCTCTCCCAGCTGCTGATGGAGTGAAAGGTTTTCACTTTGGAGCTGGGCCAGTTGTTGCTGCAGCCCTTCTGCCTTCTGGATGGCATTTTCTCTCGCTGCCTCCTCCTTAAGGTACAGGTCATGCCACTTGCTTGCCTGCCTCTGGGCCTGACGAAATTCTCTTTCTCTCCTCTCTAAAGCCAGCGTCTTCTCCCAGAGCGCTGTTTTCATTTGCTCCAGTTCCTTCTCCAGCCCACCAGCTTTCCCTTCTGCTTCGCTCAGCTGCCGAGACAAGCTCTTGTTGGTCTTCAGCAGCTGAGACACGTCCTTCTGCACAGAACACAAATTGACAGCCCTTAGGAAATCAGCTCAAAACAGGGGGTCTCGGCAGCATTTCCTGCCACCCGAAGAGGACTGTCACCAGCGTGACGTTCAGATTCAAAAAGGTATTTTAACCGCTCTGCGTTAGACATTACTCGTGGAAAAGACTTCTTTTGCATTAGTGTGTCTCATGTAATCCCGAAAGGAGGACTCTAATGGCAAATCTGTGTTTTTACATACATCCCGCCCAAAGCCTTTGCTCTTCCCTTCAGCTTCTTCACCTCCTGGCAGCTGGCAGACAGCAGGCGCCGTGCGTATGGCAGGCTCACCTAGATGAAAACCACATATTGTTGGAAGCAGAGTGAGCTGAGGCAAGTCCTTGATGCCTAGAGTGCTTTCCGACTCATCGTGCTCCCGGAGACAGTCTTGGGACAGACACACGCCCCAAACCCAGGAGATGCCAGCGAGGGACCTGTCAAATGGCAGGTTGGAAACGCAGCTCCCTTCCCGCGGGGGAACTCGCTCCCTCGAGCACAGCCGCCTTTTCCGTGTGCCAGGGAGATCGCTCCAAGTGATCAGAAAGGAGCCCAAGAGGAACGAGCGTCTCGAGAACTCTGCTATGCCGGGCCGTTGCCTGGCCGTGCGCTTTTTCACTGGCTGGCTCAGAAGCCACAAGCCCCTCCTGGGCTCCACACAGCCCGTCCCCACGGCAAGCCTGTCACAAAAGGGCGGGCGACAGGCCTTTTCCCCATCGCCTCCTCCACCCCCGAGAGTCCCACCTGCTCTCCGCAGAGCGGGTGCGCGCCGCCTCAGCGCAGCAGCTTGGGCCCCGTGGGGAGCGCTGGGCGCTGACACGCCCTTTGCACGGCCCACGGCAGCTTCTCCCTCGTCCTCCTGCTCCCTGGGCTGCGCAGGCCGTGCACGGGGACTGCGCCTGGAAAGACAAAGAGCGCAGCCAGTTGTAGGCACTGCTCAGCGCAACACCAACGGCCGGGGCTTGTCCGCGCTTCCCAGAGTGACCCCCCCTTGGGAACGAAGAGCCCCAGGCACAAAGCTGAGCCCGAGCGCAGGAAAGCAGCCCCGCAGTTTGCCCGCCAGCAGCCGCCTGCCTGCGCCCCCGTTACCTGTCGGCCTCGTCCCGGCAGTCGGTGCCTTTCACCGGCGCCTTCCCCAGCGGCTGCACTGGGGCCAAGTCGCCCATGGTGGCTGCCTGGGGCAGCTCGTCCCGACCCTCCGGCTGGAGCTCATGGCTGTCGCTGCTCCCGGAGGACACGGGACCCTCCTGCACCCTCTTGCTCCTGCTCCTGCTCCTCCTCCAGCTCCGCAGGAACCGCCAGATCCTCCCCATGGCCCGGCGGGAATGGGCACTGCACCACCTCTCCTCGCCTCTCCCCGGGGAGCGGTGCCAGGCAGGACTTGGCGGGCGCTGCCGGGTGCCGGCTGCCAACAGAGGAGCCGAGCCCCGAGGAGCGGCAGCTCACGGGCAGCTGCCTCGGGGCTGAGCCAGCGCCCGCAGCACTGGCACCAGCTGTACCACCAGCACCGCTGGCACCAGCTGTACCACCAGCACCAGCGGCACCAGCTGTACCACCAGCACCAGCGGCACCAGCTGTACCACCAGCACCGCTGGCACCAGCTGTACCACCAGCACCGCTGGCACCAGCACCAGTGGCAGCTCCGGCACCAGCGCCACCAGTACCAACAGCACGTCCAGTACCAGCCCGCAGCACAGCACAAGCAGCACAGCACCAGCACAGCACCAGCACACAGCCAGCACCGCCAGGCACTGTGTGGTCAGGTCACCGCCGGTAACCAAGGTCTAGGGAACGAATGTGCTGACGTCATGAAAGGCTCAGTGACATCAGATGGCGCTGGGGGCTGGGCGGGGCCGGGGCAGAGGCTGGCCGGGCAGAGGGGCCTGTGTGCTCAGAACCTCTCTGCACACACACAGGCCCCGTGGCCGAGGGAAACAGCCCCTGGCGCGCTGTGTCCGGGGGCACAGGGTTGCCCAAGGCCACCTCTCCGAGGCTCCCACCTCCCTGCACGCTCTGCGGACCCCCCGGCCTCCTCCCCTCTCCCAGCACCTCCGCAGCGCTCGCCCGCGGGGCAGACGGACGGGCTGGGCAGAGCGGGCTCCCTGGAAGCCAGCAGGGCTCCCTGGAAGCACAAGAGGTGGCGGCTGGACCCCCCAGGTCCCTCTTTGTGCTTCCTGGGCTCTTGGCATGAGTTTGGGGGCACCCTGGACCCCTGGCAGTGCCCTTCTCTGCAGCCCTGGGTGTCAGGGGCCACAGCGTGACTTTTGCACTCACCCTGATGCACGTCAGCACCTTCTCCTCAGCTGCCACTCGCCAGATCCCACGAAAACCTCCAACTGGGCACTGGAGATTTCGCACTCGCCCTCTGCCCTGCAGCATGTCTGCCCAGGGGAAGGAGGAGGCACGCCTGGAAGCCAGGCCCTGAACCCTGCTGAGGCTCAGCCCTGCCGCGGTCCCCGGGAGAGCCCCCACGGCACGGAACCGTCTTGGAGGGAGCAGGCTGGGGTTTCCCCGGCGGGGCCGGCCCCCGGGGACGGAGGGCAGCAGCCTGGCCCTGAAAATAAAGGCTTTGCTTCTGGGAAGCCGTGGCAGGTGCAGCCGCCCGATGAAAATGTGGCTTCCTGGCTGTGGAACCTTTCCGGCGCCCTTGTTCTCAGGGCTTGAGAGTAATTGGGGTTCTGGGTCAAGAGGGGCTGGGACTGCCCACAGGTCAGATTGGGCTGGGGTGTAAATGGAGTCCCTGGGGGAGCCATTTGGGGCTCGTCCTGCCCGCAGCAGCGTGCTGCAGGGAAGGGCTCTCCCCTTGGGTCGGGACACGGCCCACGGAAACTCCGTGGGGTTCCCGCGGCTTGGGACGCTGCCCGAAGGCGTTCCTCGAGGTTGAGAGCCCTGACCTGTCATTAGGGGAGGGACTGAGCGTTCCGGGTTGTCCTTAAGCCCTGTTTAGGGTCTGGGGCCGTTGTTGAACCCCAGAAGTCCGTGTGGTGATTGTTCTCCTCTCACGGACATTGGAACCCTCTCTCTGCACGCTTGCGGAGTGTCGATTACTTGCGTACAAAACCCAGTGTTGTTTGTATTCGTTATGTGGAAGCTGCCGCAGCAGGAGTTTGGGGCTGTCCATGGGGGGTGCAGGACACCCCCGCACAAGCAGGGTAACGCCGCTCTCGTAAGCCCCTCGGAGGTGTCTCCTGACCCCCCCGGCGCCACAGGCCGGTGAGGGCCGCAGGGCCGGCTCTGGGCACGGCTGGGCCCGCAGCCAAAGCGCTTCCGGCCCGGGCCCCGCCCCGGGCCCGCCGCCGCTTCCGCTTCCGGGAGAGGCGGCCGCAATGGCGGTGCTCGCGTCCAACCCCAACAATCCCGTGGTCTTTTTCGATGTCGCTGTCGGCGGGCAGGTGGGTGTAGGAGCGCGGGGGGGGGGTGCAGCGGGAGCGGGGCTGAGGGGTTCGCTGCGGGGGTGCAGAGGTGCAGGGTTGTGTGGGGAGGGGGCTCGCAGGGCTTGGGGGGGGCGGCAGGAGGTTGGGGGGGTGGGAGCTCCCCGGGTGGGGAGACGGGTGGGTGGGAGCCATCTTCTGCAGGCCGCCCAAATGTAAATGAATTGTGCCGTACCCCCTTCTCCGGCAACACCAGCCGATCTCGCTGCCTAGAACAGCGTTAGTTCCGTTGCAGTTGAACACCCACGAACCCTTGTGAAAGTTCTTTCTCGAAGCCGATCGCCCTCGTTTTCCCTTGGCCGTCCCTCAGGCAGCCGCAGGGCTGGGGCAGGGCCGTTCCCTTCACCCGCAGCCTGCTGCCGGGCCGGGGGTGTTGGGAGAGGTGCCCGGTGCTGGTCCTGGCATGGGCTGGTGTCTTCAGGCGCTCTCCCTGGGGCTGAGGTTGTTTGGGGAAGCAAGGGCTTGAAAGGCTTGCCTGCTTTCCAAAAACCAGGTGTCTTTTCCCTGGGTTTGGAATCCAAACAGCTGTGATCTCGATCGGTACGTCTGAGATTCACAGAGATCTGGTGATGAAGGAAGGAAAAGCATTTGTCATTGAGCATTTTAATGGGATGCTCAGAAAGGAGATGTGGAGGTATTGTACAGCATACAACACTTTTTACTAGAGTATTTGCTGCCAGAGTTCGTAAAGAGCTACAACCAGAGCTTCCAGAGCACTACCAGAGCCAGGCCTGAAGAGGTGAACACACCAGACTCATCAGGGATTTAGAATACTCTTCATGGTGTTGCTTTGGAAGACTGTTTGAGCCTCTGCTCAAGAAGTGAGAGCGTGTCGGGGTGCCTAGTACGAGAGAGAGATTTGAGAAAGGTTACGAACCTAGGTTCACCATCAAAATGTTTATAGTAGATCAAACTGTGAGGACAGCTACCCGCGTATCACTTCCTGATCATGCGTCCCTTGAGGGGCCGTATTACCCGGCAGAACTTCAGAAAGGGAACCCTGGTGTTCTAGGTAGATTAAGGGAAATCACATCCAAATATGGATTAATGAATCTTTATTAAGGTAAGAGAGCAAATGCAGCGCTGGGGTGGCCCAGGAGTCACAGCTTCATCAAGGCTCACCAAATTGTTTCAGTTTCAAACCCCCTTTTGTCTACACAGCTGCTGGTTTCAACATCTTCGGCACGCCTCCTGGCTTCTTCTGCAATCATATCTTCTTTCTTCTCCTCGCTCCAGCCTCCCGTCGCGCTTGCACAGTGCTCCCTGGTGGTCGTGGGCAGGGGTCTGCAGATGAAGGCTCGTAGTCTTCTTCACCGTGCTCGCTAGCTGACCCTTACTTCTGCGCCAACTCAGTGCTGTGGTCACGTACACCTTGTCCTTCAAGTCTGGGCTAATTTGCAGCTCCTTTGTCTTTCTGGCTCAGTGGTTTCAGTTCCTCTCTTGTCTCAAGGACAAGGGATACCAGGGATGGCCCATTCTGTTCTTTCTCATTCCATTGCAAAGGAGTTACCGCCCTGTGATATGGACCATCTGGTGAGCACCCCAAGAAGGGGGGGACTGTTGGGTTGGTGTTTCCTCAGATCAATTCCCCCCCTTCTCTTTTCCCAGTAGTAAATTATTTTACTTTTCTTAAAATTTGGATCGTTATACTAATCATAGCTTTAGCCTAACTCAGTAAAAGTAATTGTTTAATTACTTTTAGCGGAAGCAAAATTCTTCTAGTATTTATCACAAACCACCCCTTTTCTTTTTAAAACCGTATTTTGTTTGAGCCTACTAACACTTAGTCTAATTCTTTTCTGAATATAATAACTTTGTGGGCACCGGCCGATGCAGCCATTTCAGGGTTTACTGGCATAGCTGCTATTTGCATTCCCTCAATAACATGAGACATTAGCCGTATAAAGGAGGGTATTAAACATGGTAAGAACGGTAAGCCTGCCATAGCACAAAGGAAGAAAAATCCAACCTTTTTCCACACTCTGATGTTGGACAGAACGGTAAAGCACTTGTTGCACGGATTTGCTGCTATTAGAGGGAACCCTATCAGGGTGATTAGCAGAGATCCGGTATAACATACACTCCCACCTCTCATGCCTATGGGGTTGCAGCCCACAGCTGAGATAAAGGTCTTCTTGGTGGCGAGCACAGAGGTTAACCCGGTCTTGCCCTCTACTGTTTAACGAATCCGTGTTTTAACAGTTAGTCAATTCAAGTGCAGCTCCTTTGTAGCCACTTCCTTTGTTTCTAAGCAAAGCAAACTTTTTTTGGCACTTTCTGGCAGTGTCCTTCCATCAACTCTCAGGGACATCCAAATTTTGGGGCCTCACCTCTTTTTCCCACAAATCAAGGCTGCAATTCGTGCCCCTTCCCTATACTCACAGTCCCTATTACAGTTATAACACAATTTTATCCGTACACAATACCACCTCCGGTTACACATTTCACTCTCACACAAAACCCACGCTTCATGAAGTCTGTGTATAAACTTGAGATCAGGTATCACCCTGTTAGGTTGATTTTCTAGCAATGCCTGATCAAATCCAAAATGGCCAGGATCCGGGCACGTCTGAGGAGTTTCTGTTTTTCTCGACATTTGGGATTTAGCGTTGCTTCCTGTTGTTTACTGAGAGTTCCCAGGGGTTGTTCCCAGGGTTGCATTTCACGCTGATACGATGCTGGTTGCTTCCTGCTGCTGATAAGATGCTGGTTGCTGGTCGGGGAATTCACTCAGAAGTCAGCTTTGGTTTGAGGCCTATTGTTGGGGCGTTTTTTGTTTCAATCGGTCCTTTGACTTAGGAGTGAAGATCACGACCCTTTTGGAAGAGCCCAGTATGTTCGCTCTATCCCTTTGATACGATACCATGCGTAACAATTATAAAAAGTAATAATGATAACTAACAATATCACAAGAGGATGTATGAAGAAATTCAACGCTTGGGCTGCAGAGGATGAATACCCAGTAAAGATGTCCCACCAGTGGAGTGCAGTCTCCTTCTCCATCTGGCTAGCCAACGACATTAGTTGATTCTTGGTGATTACAGTCTGTATCAGAGAGTCTGACAGAGTTTTCTTTCATCGTTCCAGGTGTCGTCGCAAATGTTCTGATTGTTCCATGGTGGTTTTCAGTGGAGTCAGGGATAAGCTGATTCCATTAAGTCCTAAGCTTTGGGGGTGGCAGCACATGTTTAGTTGTTCTCCATGCGTTGGATAAAAAGTATACATCTGTCCGTGCCAGATGAGATAGAATCCATTTCTGAGGCATCCCGAAAACGGAGTAGTTAGATTATCCATTTCTAGAATATTTTTATCATTTGTTACTATACAAACATGCTTAGCACTAATTTCTACAAACATAGCAAAGCTTTTGGGTAAGATGGTCCATTTACACAGATTCACTGAATGGTCCAATAAACCGAGTACTGAAAGTAAGATTGGCTATGATACAGGCAGAATTGGCTTTGCATCGGAAATCATCCTGTTGCCTTGCCTTGGTTGCATTTTTCCATTGCCACCTACGCGGTGTCTCTCGTGGACCTTCCAGTGGCCATCCTGGGGTAAAAGCCTTTCCCAAATGGACCGTGACGATACACAGGCAAATCCATCTTAGCAGGATCTAAAAGATAGAACCTTAAGACATCTAGTTATTCTCGCAGATAACATTTAGTTGCAGGAGCATATTCCCATTTTTCCTGTCCAGGTTGCATGATTACAACAGTATTGTCTTTTCCTGTGGCTGTTCCTTCAGCTGGTTCAGGAGGCCTGCTTGAACTCTGGGCCCACACTTTGGCTCCGTTATTGAAATGAGTTGATCCAAACCCTTCACCTCCACCAGCAGTGGTGACTTGAGGTGGATCCCCTTTTTTCCCCAATTGCTTTCAAAACTGGCAATATCAATAACTGTGCGAGCTTTGGGTCATATTTCCCGATGCCCACAATGCCATTGAATTCCTAAAAAATGTACAGTTTGGATAGTTCTTGAATCTTGTTAGGATTATTTTCCCAACCTTCCTGTCTCATAGGATCCCCCCCCACCTATTCAAGTAGTTGTTGCACTTCCTTCTCGTTGTTTCCCTGAATTAGGATATCATCAATATAATGCAGTATATTGCCTTAGGTACGTGGGCATCTAGGTGACGTACTGTTCCAAGCAGCTTCTCTAACTGGGCAGGAATACCTTG